ACACACACACAACACACATTTAATTGTTGTTACTATACCTTTTGCTTCAGTCGGAAAAAATACAATTTTATTTATTTATATTATTAATTATTTTCAATATTATTATTATGAGCTGTTTTACTTTCATAATTACTTTATTAATAATTAATTAATTGATTGATTGATTGATTGATTTATTGATTGATTGATTGATTAGCTATGAATCAATAATAGATTAATTAACAGATGCTATTGTAATTAATTGTTATGATTAATTAAAATTAAAGTATTTCGCTTATTACATAACACATAATATAAACAAAAAATAATGGTACACTAACTATACAACTCTATACAATTCTATGTAACTCTATATAACTCTATATAACTCTATATAACTCTATATAACTCTATATAACTCTATATAACTTTATATAAATCTATATAACTCTATATAACTCTATATAACTTTATACAATTCTATATAACTCTATATAACTCTGTGTAACACTATATAACTCTGTACAACTCTATACAACACTATATAACTCTAAACAACTCCATATAATACTATGTGACACTATATAACTTTATACAACTCTATATAACCTTTATAACTTTATATATCATCATGTAACTCTATACAACTTTTACAAACCTATATATTTTTGCTATTATTCTTTAAAAAAATCAAAATCTGGCGGACGAAAATGATGATGACGACGAAAAATTAATAGCGAAGGAAAAATGTTTAAAAATGGAAAATGAAATAAAGTAATTATTTAACAGGCAGATTAATGAAATAATTTATTAATAGACTAATTAATGATTTACTAAGTTTGTTGAATAATTGATAAGGAGAAAAGAAAACTAGATTGAGTAAATGATAAAACTTCATTGAGTGCCGAAACATTTAAGGTGTATCCTGATATGTTGATAGGGCGGAGACTTGATAGTTGTGCTTACATTGACGAAGATTGTGTGTTGTAGTTTTGATTGGTTGTAGTAGAGCACGGATTATTGTTCGTTTATTATGAACAAACAATAAATTTGTTACACAATGGGGCATTCCAAGAGAGTAAATCTTAACTAAGCGGAATCCCAACATCCAAAAAATAATCCATGAATTCATAGTTCGTGTAATTAAATGTAAATTAAATATTTTATTTCTTTCTTTTTTTAACATTTAAAAAATCAATTTTTAAAACATATATATATATATATATATAAATATAAAATATGTAAAATTTAAAATGTTTAAAACAGATTAATATATGCCTGGCATAGTTGTTGTTAGTTTCAACTTTCTTGAACAGTCTTGAATCGATTGTGTTGAATGAATATTTTAGTGTTGATAGGATATGATGCAGGTAGATAGTTGAAGCGGATAAGTTTCTTGATGAGAGATTGTAGTTGCTGAAGTTGTTGTTGTTGCGTAGCAAAACCAGACCAGGAGGGAGCTGCATATTTTGATGCGTGAGATCACGAGTGATTCAGTGATATCGAATAATTCGATGCCTCTGAGACCATGTTAGCGAAGTGTTTTGATTGCGTGAAATGTTTGAAAGCCTTTTATGAAGATGTGATTGATATGAGGTGCTATATTGATTGTGGAGGTGAATGTGATCCCTAATATTTTTAAATGATTCGTGCTAGTGATTGATGGTTGTTCTGGAGGTGATGCTGTATTTTTAGGACCATCGTGAAGGATGAGATGAATGAATGACCTAACGATGAATATTTTTAGAATTCGTGAAAGCACGGGGCTATAATCTATTGGCGACTCAGCACTTCACCAAAAGCTTTGGTTTTGAACTCAAGAAAGTTGAAAATGATTTACGATTACGATCAACCGTTAGAAAAATCGAAAAGTTGAATTAGAAGTTATGTGTGCGTGTGTGTGTGTGTGTATGCGTGTGTGTGCGCGCGCGTGTGTGTGTGTGTGAAAAAATGAAATCATTTTGTCGTTGAATAAAAAATTGTGGTGTTGTGTTGTTATTCCACACACACACACACACACACACGCACACACACGCACGGACGCACGGACGCATGCACACAATTAATTTTTTACCAAAACGTGTTATTTATACAATTAATTTGACAATGATTATAGCCCCATCAATGGCTAGCTAATCACCGAAGGGTCTTGCATACATTAATTTGATCTACCGAATTAATTAATTAAATCTACCGAATTATAAACGGCAGAGTATTTATTCTGGCTAATTCACTATCATACAGCAGTTAGTAACAAGAATTAAAATGACGTCATTTCCGCCAAGGAGTTGGTAAGGAATAATTATTTCTTTTTTCGTAAAGAATAACACATCCTTTCTTAACAAGTTTTAAGCCGTTGTGTGGATGATTATCATTTTATTCACCGTAAGAAGAATTTTTTCATCACGTCAATAATTTAAAAAGTCATTAGCGAAAAAGTTGAAGCCGGTTTGTGTTCGTTTACTTATTTATAAGTAATGTACATCGGCCGTATTACACAGCAGTGGGATTGGTTTCAAACTAGAGTGTCAAAAAGAACAAGAAATAATGGCGACCATGAATCATTTGAGTTCAAATCTAACCGAACAATGTATGTAAAT